GAAGCCAGTGTAATGATTTGTCCCATGTAAATCTATAGAAGTACATTAGACAGAGAATGAAAGCCATATTGGGATTAGGTTTCCATCTCTTAACATCTCTCTCTACATGACAGATGGGATTACCACTGAAGTAAGGAGGGCAGATTAATGATGGAAAATAAAAAAGGTAGATAAATCAGCCCTCTGGAAAGGAGACTTCAGGCGCACACAGCGCCAGCAGCATTGGTTTATTTACCGCATTAAGAGAGCGACGTAGAAAATGAAAAATGGAAAAGACCATTTTTCATTAATCCACAGGCCTGGCTGGGACTGACTATTGCCTGGGAAAGTCAATTATGGGCCGCTAACAAGAAGAGAGCTCTCCCTGCAAATGCCCTTCCCAATATAATCACCCCATAGCAGGGTAGATTAAAATCCCATTTCGGCTCTCGTTGCTACAGAAGGCATTTTAATCTCTGCTCCTATGCAAGTCATTAGAAAGAATGACTGTATGATTGATAAATGACTAACTCTTTGGTTTAGATGCTTGAGCAGGGAACCAAATGACTGCAGACTAGTCCTTCCTGCCATTGAGTTCAGCTGGCTGCCCAGTTTTTATAAAAATCTCAGGAATATCCCCCCTCTCCTACTATCATATTATCTATCCATTTAAATGTGTCACTCTCTATCCACAACCCAAAGTCATTATGACAGCCATCAAGGTAACGGTACTTCTATCACTGGCTTTTCTTTTCCATCTTTTTTTTACAAGTATGCAAAGACTGCATAATATCATCCCCTCTTGCACAAGACAGCCCAAAAATTGAGAAAGTGTTTTGGTTTTTTTAGGGAGTATTTGTTTGCTTATATTCAGAAGGAAACATAGGATGTATTTTTTAAAATTAATTTATAAATGGGAGCCTGTTGCTTGAAATATCGGAGGGGGGATGACAACAGAAGGGACCCAGATTATTATTATTTTATGATGATGACTGCCCCCCCTCCCGCTACGGTTTTTAAAGATGCTAGTTGTGCCATGATTTGGCTAAAATGGAAGGGAATTGGAGGATGAGGCTCAGCATCCATTTATAGTGCAAGTGGGCAACGTTTAGCCCCAGCCTCATTTAATAAGAGTATTAATTTTATTATTTATATGCCACCCACCTGACTGGCTTTCCCCAGCCACTCCAGGCAGCTTCCAGCAAAATATAAAAACTCAATAAAACGTCATTTAATGTGGCCTCCAAAGACAGAAAATGTTCCAGTTTTTTCTCATCAGAGTTCCTTCTGTCCTATTAATCATTTCCTCTAGCTTTTAAAGGTACCTTTTCCTACTTGCAGAAGAGTCAAGTTTTAAAAAATGAATAAATTTTAGCTACGTTGACAATCTTAAGAAACCATTCTCCTCCATTTGGGGGGGGGGGGAAAGATCCCCCTGTTTGATGACACTAACATTTGCATCCTAAATATTTTCTCTCCCTTCCAACAGTGCAAACACCAAGATTAAGCCAACTATTAAACATGTTTGTCTTTGAGACTAGTTCTGCATCCCCAAAGCTCCTCCTCTCTCCCCATGTTGTTTAGCAATTCAATATGCATTATGTGACACCAGCACTCTAAGCATTTCCCCACTCTGGCTTCACTTCATTGGCTGCCACTTATGGAGGCTGTGAAACTCAGAGTGGCAGTGTTGTGTCATGCAACTGGTTTCACAACACATTAAGACGAGGGGCAGAGAATGAAAGGGAGATGCAAACTTGCTGTTCTTAATCTGTAACCATGCAGTCCCCAGAATGTCTGTGCCCAGCCTAACCTTCCAAGGGAAACTTCATGGGCATGGAAAGCTGATGGATCGATCACAGTGCGAAGTCCAAGAGAAATGGAGAATGATCCCAACATTTCCTTTGCCACAACAGTGATTTTTCTAGTGTGATCTCCCTCCAGATTTGTTAGTTGGATCCCTAAGATGGTAGTCAATTAAGTGTCAAGTTAATAATTTAGATTAATTAACATGACTCAGTTAAGTCCATACATTTCAATGGGTCAACTCTGAGTGAAGCTTATTTGAATACAATCGCCAGTTAGTCCTTTTTATAGTTCATGATCTGGTTCATTGTCATATATGTATATTTGGTGATGTTGGTTGGGTTTTGCTAGTGCTTCAACTGGAGGGGGAAATCAGGGCTGAGAAAAAAGAAAATGAGGTATGATATCGAAGGCCCACTACAATTATGATGGACAGATACTAGGTTTTGAATGCTGTCGTTTTGTCATTGTGATATTATCATGAGCATTTTTGACAATTTGACTAACATTTATCCCTAAGAGCTAACTGCATCTCAGAGTTCTGAGCTGGTTGGTCGGGGGGTGGGGTTTGCCATATGCTATTTGTATAGTTATTTAACACCGCACAGCTGCATTTCTATCCATCTGTAGTATAGATTGGATTGCTGGCACACTTTTAGGCAGGAGTCCCACAATTCATATTTATGAAAATAATTACCCTCAGAACATGACGGTTCAGAGGCGCTCATTCAAGTAGTTCAGCACTGCTCTCAATTAGGGATACTTCTTGGTTATCAGGCAGCTCTGAACCAGTTGAGAACTCAGCTGATGGACAGGATTGCATTTAAACAGAAAGGGCCTAAAATAGTTTTCCCCCTTTTTAAAGGCACCAGCTCATCAAGAGCCAAGAACATTCATCTTCAAAATGAGGATGATTTCTTTTTGCTGCCATCTCCTCTGTCACACACACATTGGAGGCTTGAATCCTAGCCCACTTGCCTGAGAGTAAGTCCCCTTCAACATAATATACGTGCATAAGGTTGTAAGTTCATTAACAAATTGCATGCATAAAAGGAACAATTGTTCAGTCCTCTTTCTACTACCCCCAGTCAGCCACTGCTTTTGTTCAGAAATATAACTACATAGCATTGGAAACAAGTATGCAAGTGAAGTACCTTATATAAACATGCACCCACCTCTTTTGGACTAATACCATATTTTTGGGTAGGCAAATGTAGTCATCCAAAAACTTACCTTATAAAAGCAAACAGTGATATTCACAGTATCTTTAGTACTCAAGAGGAATCCAACTTTGTAACCCAGTTCAAGTTCTTTTAAGAATTCTTGTCTGCTTTAATCGGAGGCTTTTCCAATCATAGCCCAGTAACTCTTTATCATCGATTAAGCGATTTGATGTTACAACATAAATCTATGTGGAATAGAGTATCTGAGGCTTTGGCATGGCTTAAGCCAGGCATCTCCAACCTTCGGCCCTCCAGATTTTTGGACTACAATTCCCATCATCCCTGACTACTGGTCCTGTTAGCTAGGGATCATGGGAGTTGTAGGCCAAAACATCTGGAGGGCTGCAGGTTGGGGATGCCTGGCGTAAGCATTTGTGGAACTGATCCATCCCTGGGACGAGAGACTGCTGGGAGCTCAATGTAATAGCCAAATAAAATATTTAAAATAAAAATCCATAGAAATGTAACTCTTGAAAATCACCATCAATGACAATCAGCTGATCCATTAACCTTATATTACGAGTAGTAGCATCACACTTCCTGAGAATATCATTTGAACACAAAACTCTATTGGCTTCCAAGCGCAGGTATGAATTTAGAGGCCAAGCTCACAAACCACATTACAGGTAGATCTTCACCACTAATAAGAGAACATAAGAAGAGCCTGCTGGATCAGGCCATTGACCTGTCTAGTCCAGCATCTTGTTCTCTCAGTAGCCAACCAGATGCCTGTGACAAAACCCTCAAGCAGGTTCTGAGCACTCTCCCCAGCTGCTATTTAGAAGCATTACGGCTTCCAGCTGTGGAAGCAGAGTATAACCATCATGGCTAGCCTTCTCCTCCATGAGATTTGAACATTCCTGGTAAGTGCCAAATTTGAAAATTCAGCTGACCTGTATGGATTAGATAATGTTTTAATCGGTTGTTTCCATTGTAAATTTGTATAACAAAAGCATATGCATTTGTATGACATCCAATTGTGGAATATAGGGGCAGGATTCAACTAAGTTGTTGCATGCAAGGAACGAGCTCCTCTTGTGCTTTGCCCCGCCCTTACCCCTATCCACCCCTGCACACTACAAAGTCTTCTCTGGAGACCAGAACAAGACACCACCCCACACTCAATACACACACATATGCCACTTAGCACTACATTCCACCCTAGGTGTATATTCTGGGCTGCAGTAAATTGTTTATTTGGAAATTATAATTAGGCAAAGCATGGAATTTGGAAATGGTTTTGAAGACTACCAAACTTGTTCCCATAATATAAATCAAATGCACTTTTCTATGCCAAATATTGGAATGTAAGCACTGAAGAGTTCAAATCCATGCCAACTGGTGACTGATTCATCCTTTTTCTTTACAGTGCTCATTCACAAAGTCAGCTCTATCTCTTTCCATGTATTTATTTAATATAAATACAAAGCTTTATTGTATTGGGCACTAACCATGCATAGGATGAATAGCCAATCCACATACATTTTGTTCCAGCTTTCAATGTTCACTGACAATGAGCTTTCATTGAGAAAGAAAATTCTGATAAAGCATATCTACTTCTCTGGGCAGCAAAGGTCTCTCTGGCATGGACAGCTGCAGTAGACAGTTCTCTATAAATGCTGTGCATGTTACATCTATTAAGCCACTTTCTCTGGCCTGCGAAATATGGACAGCAAAAGCGCCAGCTCAGTGCCAAGTGTTTATCCTAGTAATGAGACTAAGATCATCAATCATTTCAATGAGATTTCCCCAAATATGTCACATGGACAATGCCCACAGCCAGGAAACTTGTTTAGAAAGACCCCTTGTGCCATTTTTGAAAAAAGGTGCCAGGGCACTCCATTAAAGCAGCACCTGTCATTTCAAAGGTGCATTTGTATTCAGTGCTTAGGCACTCAGATGGTTAGGCAAGCTATACACAGGCTGTATAGTGATTTGGTTCCCTGTTTGAGACAATAGTAAAAAAAATAAGAGCACTCAAGCCAATGAAAGAATCTCTCTTTCTCTCTCTCTCTCTCTCTCTCTCTGCGTGTGTGTGTGTGTGAGAGAGAGAGAGAGAGAGAGAGAGAGAGAGAATTAAAAGGGCCATGTATAAAAATAAACACTGGCGGACATGACCACAGGTCTTTTGAGTTTAAGTTCTTTGACCAGGTAAGAAAATTTTATGGGGCAGACATTTAGCCAGGAGGCAAACTTAATAGTGTCTACAATGTTGAGTCTGCATTCATTGGCCACACAATGGCAAGAACTTGAGTCTATGGGTCAAATTTGTTTAGCAACCAATTTCGATGCCAGATTTTTATGTGTCCTACACACACCCCACTCTCATGTAGGTATGAGTACCAGCAATATAAGAAGCAGTTTTCTAGATGCTAAATCAGTAGCAGACCTGGCACTGCCTCACCAACCCCAGCCTTCTCCGGGGCATGCGGGCATATATGAATTCTGCTCTTGGTAGTTTTATGGTTAGGTTGAAGAAAAAAATCATTGCCTATGGTATGTTGGTTTCTGTATCCATTTTGCACTTACACTTCTCTATGCCAGCTTTAGTGTGAGTTTGGTGACAGTCCAAAGCCAACAGCACTTCAAATGAATAGTATTGACTGCAAGCTCTTGTGGTACGCTGTCTACATCCTGCTCATTGCTGACAAGAACATAAGAGCCCTGCCAACTTAGGCCAAAAATCTATCTAGTCTAGTATCCTGCTTCCCACAGTGGCCAACCAGATGCCTCCAAGAAGTCCAGAACAAGATCTAGATCTCTGCACACAGAACACTTAACTCAGAGGATATAAATCGGAATATTTGCAAAGTGCTTGAAGTTATCTGCAGAATAATAAACTTGATTCAGAGCCAATAGTTATTGTTGAAATGATCAACCACCTGTCCCAAAACTTCCTTTCTGGTTGGCTGGCTGGCTATAAATATAAACATAAAGGATCAATCTGATGTATCTAGCCTACCCATAGCTTAATTTTGCTCATTTTTCAGAATATTCAGAAGAACGTCCTCACCGCAACTCTCTGCCTTGCCACTTGTTTATGTGACATATGTAAGGTGGCCCTGTGCCCTACTTTACAGGGAACAGACTCCATTTGATGGGCTTCCTCTGTCTGAAGGAGTCCTCTTTTAGAAGGGCTGCCTGGTCCAAGGGAGACCAGGAACTTTGACATAGGCTGAGCAGGGCCAACGGTCATGTGGTCACAGTCTTCCCCAATATAATGAGATAAATTACATTTCTATTTATAGTAATTACAGTACTTCTAAATTTGCACATACAGTATACATAATTACCATTGTTATGCAAAATGGTATCCACTTTCTTGCTCTCATGACATAGAGGTCAGCTGGGTGTGGCAGCAGTAGCAGGCATGCTTTTGAATGAAGCACCTGCAAAGGACTCTGGAATTGTATTAGAGGAAAAGAAGGAGGTGGCTGGCAGCATCCTTTACCCTAGGGAGCTCCAAATTCCTTCCATAATTCACTATCTGCATAGACATAAAAGGAACTTCCAAATTTGCAAATGATGCTTTGCTGCAGTGCTTTGGGGTGGGGACAAAATACCTTTGTAACGTGTAGCTGTAGATAAGCCTTAAGAATATATCACATGTCTCTTTTTATTCATGGTTCAGATGTAATGCAGCAATATCACATAAAAGAGTCAGATATTATTTTATGCCCCGGTGATATATAAAGGGACAAAAACAACTGGTGCTGGAAATCCCAGAGGTAGAGAGGGTGTTGTTGGGCCACTTTCAATCAGTGATCCTGCTTGACATGCAAAGCCAGGCGTTTGCAAATTTCCAGCTGAAGAATCTGGGCAGGTTTTGGGTTAGATTTAAATTAGAACACTCTGGCTGGAGGGCAGAGAAAGCAAAATACCTATGAGGAAATATGCTTAAATCATCAGCTGTCAGTTGTTTTCATCTCTCTCTCTCTCTCTCTCTCTCTCTCTCTCTCTCTCTTTTTTTTTTTTTACTGGGATGCAAAATGCTAGTAATAATGGCAATGCTGAATGGAGATGCCAAGAATGGAAAAAGGAAGAGTCCAATAAAAAACAAAATAATATTTGGCTGATCCTTCCAGCGTTCTCTGCTGTACTTTATGCTTTTCAGCTATTTTAAGGCATCGTCTAGCAATGCCTTTTCAGCTATTTTAAGGCATCGTCTAGTGTTGGCTGCAGATTGGAGGGGTGGCGTTTTGTGCAAGCGGCCCATCCTGGAGTAGCTCATTTCCTCCTTAGTGCTGCTGCTGCTCAGGATCAGCCGCAGCAATTGGGCAGAGTTAAGTGTGGCTGCCTCAGGTGGTGAATGAACATGAGAACGTAAGAACAGCCCTGCTAGATCAGGCCAGTGGCTCGTCTAGTCCAGGATCCTGTTCTCAAAGTGGCCAACCAGGTGCCTGTGAGAAAACTGCAAGCGGGGCCTGAGTGCAACAGAGCTCTCTTCTCCTGGGGTTTCAAGAAACTGATATTCAGAAGCATACTGTCATTGTAGCTAGTAGCCATTGATAGCTTTAGCCTCCCTGAATCTGTCTAATCCACCATCCAGGTAGGTGTCCATCACTGCCTCCAGTGGAAGTGAGTTCCACAGGTTAACTATGCACTGTGTGAATAGGTACATATTTTTGGCTGTCCTCAATTTTCCAACATTCCACTTCATAGGATGTTCATGAGTTCTAGTGTAATGATAGAGGGATAAAAAGCCTTCCTGTTTTTCTGATTTTCCTAACACTCACCAAAGTCAGTTGCGTGTCGAGGTCCCCAAGCCACCCCCCAAACAACTCACAACGCACACTTAATTTTTGTTTAAGGTTTTTGGCATAATTTTGGCCACAACTTTATTTAAATACAAAACCGTGAGTGGTTGTTTAGGCATTGGTTAAGACTATCTGTCCCCCCGCCTGGGGACAGAACTGACTTCCGGGCACCACCGAAAGACAGTGCGGGGGAAAGCAAGTCGGAGAGAAATGGAGCTGAGTCACAGACCCTCAATTCTCATCCGCATGCTCCCCGAAGGCTTGCCGGCCCTAGTCCCATTCCAGGGATTGGACGAAAAGATGGCAAGCCCCAGGATTCCTTTAATGGAATCCCCTTTCCGCAGCAACCATGGAGGGGCAGGCCCAGCCTATCCTAACCCCTCCTCCACCAATTTATAACCAATGCCTAACCACAACCTTACAAGTTGTGACGATTTGCTACCCAGTAGGCAAAAACCAAATGGCCCAGCCAATCAGCCAGATGGACAAAATTCCTACCAGGCCCCTGCCCCAACGGCAGACGACCCCATGACAGGCATAGCAAGGTCAATGCAACAACCCCTTACTCAAGGGCGGGTGGGCGGGTGATCCATTGCACGCAGCAAAGAGAAAGCTCCAGGCTGCGTGCAGAGTATTTAAACATTTTACCCCTCCCACCAAAATTGCAACATAACTTTTACCCCAGCAACCCAGTGAACCAATCACTGCCCCAGGCCATCTTTAGAGACCCTGCCTGGTAACAGAGGGGTGGCTCAGCAGACCCCACCGCAACACGTGCTCTCCATGAAGGAGAACACGCTTTATCAGAATTTAAAACTGTTATTATGATTTATTGGGTTAGAGACAGAGTGGCAGAGATGCATAATAAAATGTTGAATGCCAATGCAGATTCAGCAAATAAAACTTGAACAGAAGCCCTAAAAAGCTTTTCATTATTCTGAAGTAAGAAAGAACCCAGTTTCTGAGAGCAGCCCATTTAGGAAGGATAAGTTTGAGGAGGCATCTGAAGAGAGCTAATATAGAAAGGCGATAGACAGTGAATTTGTAAGGAGCTGTCTATTTTCCCCTGCAAGGCAAAAGCAGCTCAGAGAGGACCATTTTGATAAGAAAAGTAGCCTGCATGGGAAAAGATAAGTATCTTCCTCCACTTTCCAAAACTTCCAGTCCAAATTGTAGCTTCCTGCAGCTGTTTTGTGACAACATACAAACCCTCAGGGGAAAGAATAGTGCAGCAGCAAGAGTATTTTAACTCACAGATTGCAAGTTAAAGAAGCAGCTTCTTGAAAACTTGAACCTAACACGTACGTGCCCAGCCTGTTGATACTAGGTGGGCTGAAGCTCTGACAATGCCCTAAGCACAAGCAATGGCTACAGATCCCCATAAAGCCAAAAGACATAGAATTGTTTGATGGGGGAGAAATACCTCATTCAAATCAGCTCCACCATTAAGCCAAAAAGTACTTTTGTGCCTCTAAAAAAGTGCCTTTCCCAGTATCAACCATGCCAGGGCCTATCACTGGCGGAGGAGATTCTGTTGGTGGTACTGTCACTTGGGATTGCCTGTTTAGCAGTGACTCATAGCAGGGCCTTCTCAGTGGTGGTTCCTTGTTTGTGGAGTGCCCTCCCTAGAGAGGTGCATTTGTTTCCCTAATTATTAACTTGTATGACAAATTTTAAAACATTCCTGCTTTCCTAGGTGTTTGATGTCTGAAAGATCTGTCCCTGACCAGTTTTAAGAGTATGTGATGTTTTGTTTGTTTTTGAGTTTTTAACTGTTTTTAGAAGGTGTTTTCAGCCCTTTTCAGAATGTTTAATTGTGTTATTTTCCTATTAATATGTTTGTTAACATGGGTGCCTAGAAGGAAGAATGGGATATAAATATATCACTGCTGCTGCTGCTGCTGCTGCTGCTGCTGCTGCTGCTGTTATTAATCACCCTTGACTCCGGGCATTTATTTTGACCCCATGTGAAGCATTATATTATGTAGATGCCTTTTTTCACCTAACACAGAGTGCATCCACCTAATATGAAAATGAGTCCCTTTAAAGTTAGCCAAATTAATAACAATCTTCTCCTTGGCCCAAGTCACACAAGTCAAACAGGTCCTCAGTTAAACAGCTAGATTAAACAGCTAGAAAATTAATATTATTGTGAAATTGGTTCAACTGATTTACATTTTTTTAAATTTTAATTATCATCTCAATGGTGCATCAAAATAGCAATTATGGCAAACTGTCCAGGAAGGGAAGGCGACCAATCTCCAAGTGCGAGTTTGTGCATAAGCTTTAATCCTTTTAAAAAGATCCAGGGCATTATCAT